TTTTGTTCTGAGTTGTACATCTTTGTATTTTAGAATCTTTTCCAGTTCTTTCATAGCCACCCTCCAAATTCTTAATCTTTTTCTGATTTCCTGATTGTAGTCTCCATTTCTATCAATGTTTGATTCCAGGTATGGGAGTTCTTTTACTATTTCTATTTCTTCATTGCCTAGGTTGAACCTGTGAAGCTCCTTGGTGGACAACCATACAGCAGCTTTTATCCAATTGGAATCCTACATCTGTCATTCCATGTTCTCTCAAGAGGAGGATTTGGATGGAATAATGCTCCATCAGCCACCAGGTGGGTTGACCGGTCTCTGGATCCATGCTAGTCCCCACACACTTCATCATCAGTAACTAATAATGTTGTGAATCCAACAACATTCAAACAATTATACCTTTATTGGCCCAACCAAAATGTACAATTACATGTTGCAAGTTTTTGAAGTCATACTGGCTTCTTCATCAGGCAAACCAGAGAAAAAAATTAAAGGTGTTAGTCTTGAGCCTGCATTTTCTGTTTCTGATCTCAGTTCAGATGTTAGGGAGGGCTATCTGCAGGCTGGCTCTTCCCCCTTTGGCTATGCAGTTTCTGAAAAATGTTCCAAGCCAAGGAAATGTAATGTCCATTTGCAATCCAAAGAAGATGTTTCCTTTGAATCCAGCACGTCTCCTTCCTTTGTGAAGCCTCAGGCTTTTATGTAGGTAGAGAATGCTGAATTTCTCAAGAAGTTTTCATGCTTTGCATCAGGCAAACTTTAGGTGATATAAGGGTAAGGCATGCCAATCAGTCTCAAAGGAAGAGGAGCCAGTCTGCAGATAGCCCTCCCCTAACGTCTGCACTGAGATCAAAAACAGAAAATGCAGGCCCAAGATTAACATCTTCAGGGTTTTTTTCTCCTGTTTGCCTGATGAAGAAGCCAGTGTGACTTTGAAAGCTTGCAACATGTAATTGTACATTTTGGTTGGCCCAATAAAGATATCATTGTTTGGATGTTATTGGATTTGCTACATGGCCCATACAGCTACCCTTAGATGTTTTTTGGATTTCAATAATGTTGTGGTTTTTGCCATTCCAATGAAATATTGTCTGTGTTTATTCTAACAAATGAGACCTCTCATCTAGTCATTGAGCCAAAAAACATCCAAAGAGCAAAGAGTGATTCTTCACTCACAGAAGAATCCTAATTAGAAAGGAATAAACTAGAACTAAAGCAGGATCTCAAAGCTATCTGGTTTCAAAAGCACTAGGTCTATGAATTTGCAAAGGCGTTCAAATGGAAAAATGGATGTCCACAACAACTGAGCAATTTTGCAAATGAATGCATTACCCCTTCAATTATAACTGGGGCCAAGTTTCAAAAATGTATAATAGCTTGATTATGGTGAAATTATTTCAGGAGGCTGATCTGGATATATTTCTAGGTGACTTTCAATGAGCTACGAGTATTTCCTCTTTCAAATCCCTTTCTGTGCAATTACATGAAAATGGATTTAAATTGTTCATCATTGCTACATATTGCTAGCCACACAGCAGATAGATCTGTCTCTGTTTGGCAGGTCTTCCATATGGAAGAGAGGCTGTGGAAAAGAGAGCTTTTCAGCACATACATGACTGCATTTTCCCAGCTTTCATAGTTTGGAATACTAATATGGGCTCTCTTAAGATGAATAATAAAGCAGCCATAGCATATTATTATTGCTGTCTATGTTTGCATGGGGAAAATGAGAGTTTATTCCATGCATACCTCATCTCATATTTCCTGTGGTGTATTTAGAGCTTCCTAAGACTTGAAAAATCTAAATGATCTTTGTAGGGTGACTAGGCTGTATGTATACAATATAGTTACTAGAAAAAAATGGCTTATAAACTAAAACCAGAGAAGAGAATAAAATAGATAATATTTTTCATGTGTTCAATATTCATTTATTTTCACCAAAAAATAAGAATAATCTGTCACTAAAAGAACTGGCAAATTTAATATCAGAACCATTGGCATTACACTTTGAGAACTCCAGAAAACAGGAGAAGTCCCAGCAGACTGGAGGAGGGCAAACATTGTCCCCATCTTCAAAAAGGGAAAAAAAGAGGGTCCCAACAATTATCATCCAGTTAGTCTGACATCAATACCAGGAAAGATTCTGGAGCAGATCATTAAACAGAGAGTCAGTGAACATATGGAAGGTAATTCCATAATCACAAAAAGTCAACATGGGTTTCAGAGAAACAAGTCATGCCAGACAAATCTGATCTCTTGTTTTGATAAAATTACCAGCTTGGTAGATGAAGGGAATGCTGTGGATATAGTATATCTTGATTTCAGTAAGGCCTTTGACAAGGTTCCCCATGACATTCTTGCAAACATGCTGGTAAAATGTGTGCTAGACAAAGTAACTGTTACATGGATTTGTAATTGGTTGACTGGCCAAACCCAAAGGGTGCTCAACAATGGCTCCTTTACAAACAGGAAAGAAGTGACCAGTGGGGTCCCACAGGGCTCTGTCCTGGGCCCAGTGCTATTCAATATCTTTATCAGTGACTTGGATGACAGTATTGGGGGCATAGTTATCAAATTTGCAGACAACACCAAATTAGGAGGAGTAGCTAATACCCCAGAAGACAGGATCAAAATTCAAAATGACTTGAACAGACTAGAAAGCTGGGCCAAAGCTAACAAAATGAAATTCAAACGGAGAAATGTAAGGTACTGCACCTAGAGCAGAAAAACAAAAAGCACAGATATACAATGGGGGACACGTGGTTGAACGAGACTA